CGACCTCCAAACCGGCATCCTCTCTGTCAGCAGCACCGGCAGCAACTTCGGCTTCGACTTGTCGACCACCCTCAAGACCTCCGACCCCGACCCCCTCGTCTCCAACATCTGCGACAACACCGACCACCCGCCCCTCTGCCTTGCTACCATCCGCCCCTTCCTCGCCTCCGCCGCTGCCTCGTCATCGCTTGATGTCGAGTCCATCCTCCGCTTCGCTGTCGAGGCCGGCGGCGACTATGCCAAGGAGGCGCTCTCCGTCGCCACTAACCTTGTCTCTAAATCCGACGACATTACGCTGGACCTCCGCTCCACGCTCAAGGACTGCAGGGAAAGCTACGACGTGGCAGTCGAGAACTTCCAGAAAACGCTCGACGCCTTCGCCACCAAGGATGTCGGGACCATGAGGAGCGTGCTCAGCGCCGTCATTACCTTTGTTGGTGATTGTGAGGACGAGTTTGCCGAGATGCAGGCGCCGTCTCCTCTTTCCGGGTATGCCGAGAAGCTCACGGACATGACTAGCAACTGCCTCGCCATTGTTTCACAGATGATGAACTAAGAAAGGGATTGTCGCGGTTTTTTTTATATTATTATTTTATTTTTCGCGGTGCAATGTGGGTTTACCAAATAAAAAAAAGGTTTCAAAAATAATACATAAGATGTTGTTGTGTTGTTTGTTTGCGGGAAAATGAGAAGAATTAAAATGAGGTCTTGAGGAACCTTCTTTAAGTTATTACGTTTGTGTTGCGTACGCTCCCAAGATTGGAGCGTGGTTTTCTTTCTCTTTTTCATTTCTTGTGAAGCATTTGTTTCTGGAATTTTTTGCTTTCTCGAGTTTGTGATGAGGAGGTAATTATAGGCCTTCCTCAGTGGTGTTAAATATTGTCTTATTGTTGTATTTCATCCGTTAAGAGTACATATTTGCTTATGAGTAGTTCGTTGAGTTTTGAGTTTGTAACAACTTTGATGCATGATAAGATGGAAATCAAGCTACTTCATGTGGCTACAGAGATGGTCTCATTGAGATGTTTGTGCTTGCCTCTAACAAATATATATCACATCACATTCCAGTAGCAGCCATCTCTTCTCTACATCTTGCCATTTTTTTACTTGAGAAATAAATAAAAAGGACAGAGATTTTGTCCTTACCTTCTGAAGCGCTGCAAAATTCTCATGCAAACCGGGATAGACTAAAACCCAAGACAACCAAGTAAATTAAAAGGCACTGGGAGCGAACAAGCTTGATCTAATTGTTTAATCTGTGGTAAGGAACAAATGAGGAAACAATTGGTTCGATAACTTATCCTGCATGACAAAGTGACAATGCGAGACATTTGGTTCGATAACAAATTTTCTAGCTTTTACATGCAAGACATTTCAGACATTATGATGTAGTAAGTCACCTAACTCAGTCTTTATTATTGCAAGTGCTTATTCAAGTTCAAGTATGATATATCAGGGGCTTAGATAACTATCCTCCAATAAGACAGAGAACTCTAGAGAGAACTCTAGAAAAAGCTAAGTCCCAGGACTCTAGCTTAAGTCAGTACTCCAGTTTGAATTAGATCTCTAGACTAAGTCAGAACTCGGAAGAGTTAAGTACACCGGAACTCTAGCCAAGCTAGGTGTTTTCGGCTTTCCTTAACTTCATCAAGTAACTATTTCTTAATCGGCTATTGTAATGCCCCGATTTTTTTGGATTATTGGGATTTATTATAATTGTTATTATTATTATTTATCTTTATTCGTTACTATTATTATTATTATTATTATTAATTGAATGCTAAATATTATTATTTGTCTAAATTGTATTTAAATGCCTAAATGTCTAAATGCTATTATTATTAATTAATTAAATTGCATGTATTATATGTAATGATAAAATCCGGTTTATAATTTAATTGTCGAGCCGAACCGAATTGATATTATGACCAGTCGGGCCGAGAAAAACCGAGAACCCGAGTCACGCATAAACTCGCCGGATTTTTCTTTAAACCATGTGTGTGTGTGTGTGTGTCTTGTGGAGAAAGAAAAGAAAAAAACCCTAAGATTTATTTATCTGCTCATCTTGCTCATCAGATACACACGCCGCAATCTCTTATCTCTCGTCTTTCTTCTCACGCAACCCACTGCTCTCTCTCTCGCTATCTCTGTGCGCGAACAAAATGAGAGAAATCTCATCATCCCGTCGTCTTCAACGCTAACCCTCACCTTCATCATCAAAACCCGATCATCATCCTCATCCTTCCTCTGCAAATTTTCCCGTCGCCTCGTCATCAACCTCGCCCTTTCCCTTCTTGTCGGAATCTGAACGCAGCATCTCCGATCGCCACACTCACGTCGCCGCGAGTCACCCTCTGCCGTGAACCCTCCTCCATTCGCAATCTGCAAGCCGCAGCAACCCAAGCAACGCCGCGACCGGCCCTGCTCTGCAGCAACCTCGAGGATTCCGGCGAGTCATGTCCGTGACGCACAGTAGGCCCGCGAAACATCATCGGCGAGTTCATCCTCCGCCGCACAGCACCTCCCGACCGTCGCTGCTCCATCCCGTCGCGCGTTTAGGCCACCGCGAGCAGCCATCCCTCAGCCGCTTCTCCTCCACGAGCCGCCGCGTGTTCCCGTTTGATCCCTCTGTTCTTTTTTTTTCGAACGATTCCCGAGAATGGTACAAGGCTCGAACCCCTATCTCGATAAATTATATGTTTATGTTGTGGTTTATTTGGTGTTGAACGTGATTTACGAATATACATATATAAGCCTATAGACTTTATGTGTTCGTTTCGATTCAATATGTTGATTATTATGTGTAGAGAGCTCTTTGATTTTGAGAAATCGAGTGAGACCTTGTAATTCGTAATTAGGGTATTGTGGACTGGAACATAAAGAGTCCATGGACATATGGTGAAGGCCTCGGACGAAAATCGTGTGATATGTGTCGTGTATAAATTTTTGAGCTCGCATAAATCGCTGTTTTGATACTAAAATCATGATAAATTGTATACTGCTCGTTTTGAAGTGAAATTTTGTGAGTAGGCCTGCTGATGAACGTGCAGCTCGTGTAAGAATTTCATAATTTTTCATGGCATGTAGCTAATTTAATTAATTAAAGTGATTTCTGGGCAGAAACGTATTAATTGCTTAATAAATTGAGTTGTGCTTCAAAATTTATGAAATTCGAATATATTGTGTTTCTAGTGTATATGCTTGCTGTGTAAAATTTTCATAGTTTTTGGACTCTGTTAGCTTAGGTAAATAAATTATTTTTTGTTTCTTCCGAAAATTGTTTTAGTTATGATAAATTTATCTGATGCTGAAAATTCTAATTTTTGGTTGAAGTGCTTATTTTGTAATTATTTCATGCTGTAAAAATATTGGAATTTTTAGAGTTCATTTACGTTCAGTTCTGTTGAAAATTCGAAATCTGCTGAATGTTGTTACAATTTTATTAATTTGCATGTTAAGAGTTTAAGGCTGAGATTTTTACAAACTGTTATTCACATGTTGAGGTTCCTTGGATACAAATTTCAGAGTTTGAATCATTTATTTGGTCTGGTTGTTAATTTATGCTCGTTTTTTGCCGTAAACTTGCTCGAATCTTATAAAATTATCATACTTTAAGTTTGCAGCTGAAACTTGGTGGTTTTTTCTAATTACTGGGAGGTGAATTTTTCATTAAAATTTCAGAGTATCATAGGGCCCTGACCAACTTGTTTAGGTGATCAAAAACTAGCATTTTCAAGTATATAGTTTTTGAATTAGGAATTGTAAATCGACTCGGCTTCCGTTCCTTTGAGTGTATGACTTGGTCATTCTTGATTTGAGATTATGTGAACTCCCATGTGTAATTGGTTAAGTCTTAGTGTTGAGTCTAAGTGTTCCAACGTCCACAGGGCTTCACGAACAACTTAGTTTAATTGAGTTCGTCTAAGTATGTGATATAGCCACGAATAGTATTGTCGGCTCGACCGGTAGCATCTGATATAGCATGTCGTACCCGACCGGTTTTTATGGATATATACTGAAGAATATGCCCATACATAGGCTAAGACACTTGATATGATGAGAGGGGCCAGGCCCAACCTAGGCCAAAGCCCAACTTAGATTATGAGGTATACTCCCCCTATAAAAAGGGGGCTAAGGTATTCATTTCATTCATTCTCTCCATGGATTCCATACTACTCTCTCTCTCTCTCTCTATGATATGAGTACTGACTTAAGCATCGGAGGCCCGAATCTGGGCACCCCACCCGGGGTCCCGACTTTGGGTTCTTGCAGGTACGGTGGCCGTCCGAGTCGAGGGGTCCGGGTGACATTTTGGTCCCATCATTTGGCGCCGTCTGTGGGGACCCGTTCGAGAAGCCAAACGGTGTCCCGTCTAAAAATTCGATCAAACCTCCTCCGACTCGGAGAAGCCGCCGCCATCGGCACCACCGCCGGCCGCTGCCGCCGCCGCCGGCCGCCGGTCAAAGTAGTCCGATCGGAAAAATCCTTACACCATCGCGAAGCTCTTCTCTCGCTCGTTCTACCCTTAAAATTTCATACGGAAATTCCGCCGGGAAGACCATCAATTTTGCGGTCAAAGTTTATGGATCTAGAGATTTTTGGTCAAAATCCGGTCGTCTTCTTCATTTTTCCGGTTATTTCCCGCGAATCACTTCGAACCGCCGGCACCATCGGAATCTCCTTGTCGGGGCGCACCTTCGGCCTGTCACTCCCGCCGGAAACGGCGAGCCGCGGTCGGCGACCTCTTCTTTCCGACGAGCCGCAGCTGTTCTTCGCAGATCTCAGCTCCTTGCATGATGGTCCGCCAGTCCAAGCCAGCCCGCGCCCTCCGGCCCAACGAGGATGCCCAGTGAAGTGGTCCACACATTAGCTCCCAGCAGCCCACGTCAATTCTACCTCAAAGGCCCAGATGCAAAGCCCAATTCGGGGCGCAGTGGCCCATCTACGCGTAGCCCAACAGTGAAGGAAGGAAAATCGCGGGCCGCGCCCAGCCCGCGCGGCCCGCTTCGCTCTCAGCACCCAGCCTGCTTTACTCACAGGTGACGGCCCGCGCGAGCCCGCGAGAAGCCCGCTTCTCTCACCGTCCCCAGCCCGCGTGAGGCCCTGTCTACAGCCCGCGCGCCTCACCATCCTTGGCCCGCGTCTGGCCCAAATCCAGCCCGCGAGTGGCCCCTTCCCTCCCAGACCGCACGAGGCCCACTCCAACGGCCCAGCTAAGTGTTTTTTGTGGCCCATCAGCTCCACACCATCCCAAAAGCTGCCATCTTCCTTCAGCCCAGTGTGTAAATAGCCCCCATTTTTGTGCTTAAAACTAATTGGGGAGGATTCGACGCGGAGGATAAGGTAATTTGAGATATGATTCTCGCGAGGAAGGTATGACGTTAATTTAACTATGCACTCGAGGGATTTTTACATTGGTGAAAATGGGATAAATTATTTGATTTCGATGGAAAAATTTGGAGACTTGAGGATTTAAATGGGCAAAAATTAATGAATCATTGAATTTGATCGTGGAGACATATAATTCATTCGAGGAGATATTATTTGATGTTCGGA